TTCTTATGTATTTACCTGAGGGGAAAGAGATTTGTATTTACGCAACTACATCATTGATAGCCGTGGATCCTGCATACCATTCTTATGCATTAACATATCAAATTTTTAGTCATTATTCTTGATGAGATTTCATAACTAGATTTGATGGTTATGAGTTGTGAGTTGTGATTGGGCTACTCATATTAATCATCAGCATCATCCATATATGTGTGTGTGGGTCGAGAGATCTGAGTTAAGCAACTACATGGATAGCTGTGGGATCCTCTCATCAGACAACCAATGTGATGCCATCTATCAATTTCTTTGGAAAATTTAAATTCAAACAACACAATTCTTATGTATTTACATATAAGAGAGAGAGAGAGAGAGAGAGAGAGAGAGGATTGATTTTATGCAACTGCATCATGGATGGTCAGGGATCCTCTCTTTAGGCAACCGATGCAGTGCCGCCTAACAATTGTTTTAGGAAAACTCTACTTACATGTACAATTTTTATTTATTGACGTACGAGAGAGAGGGATTTGATATTAGACTATTGCATCATGGATGGCCAAGGGATCCTCTCTTTGGTTAAACATTGCTGCGGAACTCATAATTTTTTTTTAAAAAGTAATTTTCATTCATACCACAATTATTATGTATTTGCATGCAAGAGAGAGAGAGAGAGATATGTTTGGCAACTGCATTCCTCTCTTTAGGCAATCGATGCAGTGCCCCCCTCAATATTTTAGAGAAATTTACTTGCATGTCACATAATTATTATGTATTTAAATGTCATTTTTTGTGTCATTATTCTTATCGAGGCCTCTTAACTTGATTTGATCTTTGTGAACTGTGATTGGGCTGCTACTCAGTTAAAACCTTGTTTTTTTATTTCATTTACTGATTTTATTTTACTTTCACAGAAGAGTATATGTTCTTGATATACTAGAATGTTGACCACTTTTAATTATTTAACACTACATATGAGCGTTGGTGCACCGACTCTTGCACACTTGTCATATTCTGGCACATCATGTCGCTTCGAAGGATATATAATGATTTAAAATATTCATGCCTAGTTTTTCGTAAAAATTTTTATGCTGGCTATCGACTACTTAACATAATCCTCCACTTATCACATTCAGGATTTGGAATTTGGCAATGGCAGCATTGAAGATTATTGTGACGGCCATTTCTCACTATTAAATTAATGCTACACTCAAATTAGCTCACATAAATGGATAAATGTAATTGGCTACTGAAAAATGCCAGCCATTTCACGTTTAGATTTTTATTTTATCCTTCTTTTTCTCAATTGAAATTTCTTTTCATTTTTCTTATCTGAGTTCCAAGTTGTTGGGGCCATCATGTATAATTTAGTTTTATTGTTTTCAAGGCAACTGGAAGGCTATGTTTATTATGTTTTCCCATCTTACAGTTCGTGGTCTACTGTTCTAGTAAGAAAGAAGAGTAATGCTATACTGCAGCAAATTTATGCCTCTGCGTTCCCTCTCAAAAAAGAAAAAATAAAAATAAAAATAAAAAAGGAAGTAGTAGAAGAAGAAGATGCTACATGCATTGGAGAGAGAGAGAGAGACAGAGAGAGAGAGAGAGGTTATGATGTTAGGCAACTGCATCATGGAAGGCTGTGGGACTCTCTCTGCTCAGGCAACCAATGCAGTGCCACCCATCTAATGTTTGTTGTTATTTTTGTGTGGGCCTCGTAACTTTCTTCAAATCAGATCTTACTCATTTTGGTAGAGAATACTTGTGTTTGAATTGCTAGTATGTTACCATTTGGGCAACGATGTTAATGTTGCGCAGCTCTTGCAAGCCATTTATTTGTTTTTTGTTGTGTTTTGTTATGCATGAGACAATGATGATTAGTTTTACTTCAGTACATAACTTGAAGAAATTAAAATGTGCAAGTAGGGCTGTGAATTTCGCTTGGAGATCGTTAATTGCTCGAAAATCGATTTGAATTTTGGCTTAGATGAAGATCGGATTGAAATAAACGAGTCAAACTATGAGTCGAAAATTTTGCAGCAAATTTTTTTGAGCTAATTTTGAGCCTTACATGGATCGTGCTCAAACTAACTCGAGAGTAGTTCGTAGTATTTTTTTTATTTTTTATATGTATGTAATACTAGATAATTTTGAATATAATGAGTTACAAGCCAATTTTGAGCTGGAATGGTTCCAAATAATTAGATTTGAGCTAGTTTATTTTAATTTTGAACTGAATCCTCCCTTCAATTACTCGATTCACTGTCCTTTCTACAGTATACTGAGGGACCAATGTTAGACTATCTTCCAACACCTCCTCGACGTCCTGCAGATCGACCGATTAGGCCGTCAGAATGCTACCTGCGACCTCCCGCAGGTGAGTGGTAATCTCTCAGTCACTAGATGTAGACCGACTAAGAATGTTATATTATTAATTATTATTTTAATTGTTCTTTTTTTAAATTTGATTGTTGTGTTACTCATTATTTTGTGAGATTTATGTTTTAATGTTGTAATGTTTGAATTGGATATTTGTTTTCAAGTTTGAAATGCGCTAGCATGACCAGTTCAAACATAAACACTATACTACAGGGACAAAAAAAAGTATTTATTCAAAAACAATTGCAACACAATTGTTGCAAAACTATAAAAAACAAGCAAATATTCGGCTCCTACACAACAGCTTCTTGGCACAGTTGTTGCACAATAGCTTTTCATTAGGCTGTAGTTGACTCAAATAGACCCTAAATCCTTGTAATATATTAGTGTTTCACAAAACTTGAATTTGTTTTTATTGCCAAATGCCTAGCTTTGAGGAAATATTTCTTTTTATATATAATTTTGTTATTAAAAATAACGGCCAATTTTATACATTCCACCCAATTCTTATGTATTTATATATCTAAGAATGTAAATTTTATTTTGTATATTTATATCACTTAATTTTTCATATTACATAAAAAATCTTAATAATTTAATTTTTAAAAAGTGATGTGCTCGTTGCATCGATACTTTGGAATATATGTAAGAGTTGAAGTTTAGATATTAGGCATATATATGTAAATATTTCTCAAAGTTGTGATATTATTTTTAATTTTAGTATTACATATTTATATCACTCAATTCTTTTATATTTACATTTGTAACTAGTAAAATGGATGGTACTTTATAAATTGAGGATGTGTAAATGCAAAAAAGTAGAGTTTCGATGTGGGCCATGTAAATAATTATGAGAATTCATTGGTTTTAGAAATAAAGAAATATTGCCTCAGTACTACGCATGTTAAACTACGTGCGTATCCCATCAAATGTCGTCATGTGTAAAGCTCGGCCCCACCTATTAAAGCAAATAAAAATAATAAAAATATAATTTTAATTTGTATTCGCGACCCGGTCCGACCCTAAACACAAACCCGTCTAAAATGTCTTTTCATTTTCTCCACACTTTCATTTTCTCCGCACAATTACGAGTTTAGGGTTTACTCTCCGTATCGTCTTTCTCGGCGAAGTGCATCCTCCATTATTGGCGAAAATCTAGGCATTCTCCGTCACGCAAGCGAAGGTGACCATGACGTCCAGTCGTTTGTTAAAATTACGGAATGCATCTAAACCAAAGTAATGAAATACAAGTAACACATCAGTAATACAACAATAGCACAACAATACCACATCAATAGCATAACACACAAGTAACATACTAGTAATACATAAAAAATACAATAATACCACGTCAGTAACTTATGTTGAATTGTTATTATTATGTTATGGAGGTTTTATTGAGGTGTCACTGATGTGTAAACAAGAGTAAACCTCATGGTGAGCTTCATATCACATGAATAACACATCAATAACAAATAGTGCATCTTCATATGGTTCTAATAATGTGTTATTGTCTCTTTAATTTTCAGGATCATGAGTGCGAGAATTTTCAACTGTAGATGTCATCCATCTGCTGTGAGAGGTGTCTTGGATGCAATTCGAGATCTGGTTTTAGAGGAGACTTAATAATTTAAAGAAAATCAGGGTGTTCAATTTCTTTGACATGCCCCCATATCCCAAGGACACTGTCATGACTTTACATATTCTGAGATGTTGGGATAATGAAAGAGAGGTCTTCAAAATGGGTGGAAAGGAAGTTAAGTTACATGCTGACCACGTGGCTTTGTTGATAGGGATACCAAACAGAGGAGAGTATTTCATGAAAGAAAGAACCCCTATCAAACGTGGCTGCCAGAAAAATAAATAACCAAATAAAAAACTTTTTTGCAGGAGTTTCCACCCCTTCTTTTGAGCAGTTGTATCTGAAATTCATACTAACTAATTTATTTTTTTCTTCAAACAATTTTCATATGTATGCAGAGCTATCTTCTTTTGCTGTAAATGTACAAACTTTTTCTCCCTTTAATTGGTCTACTGTCATATATGATATGATCATCGATCAAGTGAGAATCGTGTCCATGAAATTAAGGCAGAATAAGTCGTTTGACTATATTCAAGGATTTGTATTTCTTTTAACGGTAAGTATTTGTTGTTTACATTAAAACATTATTTTTCTGAATTTTTATTTTGTTGTATTAACTTTTGCATGCATGTTGATGGTGTAAAATATCCTCATCTTTGATTTTACGAGCACAGCTCTCTATTAACTCCTGTTGCACCTGAGGCTAGCCCTTGCATTCTGAGTTGGTCAACCAATCATGGGTTGAGTGCTGAGAAGTTTCATGAAGTTTTTAAGAGACTTGATCATGTAAATCATTTAATTTTTATTACAGCTTATTGTCACCTCTGTTTAATATCTTATTAAGAATGCTTACAACGATTTTGACGAATACATTTTTATTGTAGGTTAATGATGAATTCTTAGATTTGAGGGAATATGAAGTACAACTATTCGCAAATCTAGAGCAGGGACCACCGAGTCTTGCAAGCCAACTTACACAACACGAAACTACTGCAGGACCATGTTCACCGAGATCGTATGCCAAAAGTATAATTGTTTCTGGTAATATAACTCCAGTACCTGGACATACGACGGAGAGTGCTGATTTTGGGGTACTATTTGAGATGCTGAAATCTCAGGAACAAATAAGCTTAAATATACAAAATACAGTGACTGGTATGTATTGACAGACGGATACTGTGGTAGAAGCATTGTCCACCCTTATAGTATTAGTACACAAATTATTTGAAACTAAGGCTGACAAGGTTGTTGAGAAAACAATATCCGATACAAGTTAAACTCAACTCCAAAGTAAGAAGACCAACAACAGTGGACATCAGCAGAAGAGGACAGTGGACCTCCCTGTATCTCAATACCAGTTCAAGAGAACGTAGAAAAAATGATGATGTGAATATTATTTATCGTGTAAATACAGTTGTTCCCGAAGAAACAATAAGACATGTACAAAACACAGATTTTTTGTTCAAAACGTAGATTTTTTGTTCCCAAGTACAATCTATGTGGATGTTATTGATCATACAAAGGATATTATTGCATCCAGCTGATCTTGTACATGCAGATGTTCCCGGACAGGCCCAAGACACCGAAGAACCAATAAGAGAAGCACAAGACGTAGATTTGGTGATGAGACAATCCATGAAGACCCCAAAGAAGTAGAACGAGCAATAAAGGGTGTTCTTGAATCTCTGTCCCATTCGGTGAGTACGTCATTTTAATTTGTATTATATGATATACATTCTTACTTTATTTTTTCTAACAATATTTTTTTTAGACGTGTCTTCTGACTTCCGCTGTAAATACTGATTCAAATAAGGGTATTCCTAAGAGGTCCAAGTTTCAGATGAAAATGTACATACTGAATTCAATTTAGATGAAGAAATCTTAGATCTAGCTGGTTATCAACAAATTTCGAGTCAAAGCCACAGTTCTAATGCAGACGAATATGTTATAGTTGTAAGAAAAAAAAATATAGCTATGTAGTTTGAAGCATATCTTATATGTTTTTATTTTGTTTATCTATAGATTGTTTTCTTTTGCAGCTACGTCTTCCGACTTCAACTATTGAGTATCCTGGTAGGTCATTGATACCAATTGAAATGTTGGAAGAAATAGACCAGTGTCTATCCAGATACTCTGGACGGTAAGAAAATATCCACCACTGTTTTATTGTTACACAGTTTTGTTGTATTTAATTAAAAGAAACTTTCTTTCTTATCAATGCATAGACGTTTTAATTAACAGAGGCTATATTTTGATTTACAGATCGACACTCGAAGACATACTCATGCCAGCAGTAACACAAAAGGCACAGCATAAATACACCCTAAATTTTACCAGTAAACACCACAAACAAAATGACAATACCAGAACAAAATGAAAACCCTAAACTAAAATAAAACTAGATATCATTACAGACTCACCTGATCTTTAAAGTTCAGGCTGAATGATGACATCTCAACGTTCATAGAGAATTTCATCGATACCCTAGCTATTGCGAAGTTGCGAACGGAGCTGTGAACGGAGCTGCGAAATATTTCTTCACCCTCGAATAGAACAACCTGTAAGCGCGAAATATTTTTATGCTGGCCGGAAAATTTTTAGGGTTCGGGTTTAAGGTCAGACCGGGTCGTGAATAATAAGAAATTTATTTCCCTATGTTTTAATAGGTGGGGTCGGGCTTTCCATGTGGCGACATTATATTGGATACACACATAGCTTAACATAATGTCCACGGGAGTAACACATTTAATAACACCTAGAGTAACACGTAGATAACACGAGAGTAACACGTGAATAACACGTGAATAGCATGGGAATAACACGTGAATAACATGGAATAACATGAGAATAACATGTGCCTTGCGTTACTGCTCTCTTAATACGCTGTCTTGCAGCGAATATTCCCCATGTTACCGGCCTCTGTTAATTATAACGTCGCTGTATTGATAAGAAAGATTTTTTTTAATCAAATATAGCAAAACTGCGTAACATTAAAACAATGGTGGACATTTGCTTACCGTCTAGTATATCTGGATAGAAACTGATTTATTTTTTCCTACATTTCAATTGGTATCAATGACCTACCAGGATACTCAATAGTTGAAGCCGGAGGACGTAGCTGCAAAAGAAAATAATTCATGGATAACACAAAATAAGAACATATAAGATATGCTTGAAAGTACATAGCTATATTTTTTTTCTTATAATTTTCTACAACTATAGCATATTCGTCTGCATTAGAACAATGGCTTTGACTCAAAATTTGTTGATAACCAGTTGGATCTAAGATTTCTTCATCTAAATTGAATTCAGTATGTACATTTTCATCTGAAACTTTGACCTCTTGGGAAGCACCCTTATTTGAATCAGTATTTACAGCGGAAGTCAGCAGATGCGTCAAAAAAAATATTGTTAGA